CACCGTCTTGACGATCTACAGACTCTATTCTGCCCATCAGTCTTGCAAGCTCCGAAGAAAATATGACCTCGCATCGGCGTTTGTAACTCGCGCTGCTGCAAATGTGAGGCCACTTCACAAGTTTAGAAGATAAGGGAAGCCGGTGGGCAGCGGACTTCCGACTGCCTAATTGGCAAGTTCTAGGCCGACGCCAAGAAGAATTGCCAAGTGATGCAAGTCTGAACCTACCAATTTACTTTGAGTTACTCTCGGGGAGGAGCTATTGTGAAACACCGGTAGTCATCAAATGAGAAATCTAGCAACGCTTTACAGTCACAAAGAGTTTCGGGTCGTACCTGCAAAAGTTGAGTAGCCTGGATGAGCCAAACTGAAATTATTCGAGAAACAGAGGCAACACTTTCCATTCCAATGGTCAGTGTGAATTTTACAACTACTTGGAGGAATGAATAGTGCAAGTATATACGTGGCCTCCCGGTTGTGTTTGTATAGATATGTACAAGAAGTCAAAATGGACTAGATCTAGCCCAATGTTTAGTTTTCTCAAGTTCCCGGTGTGGTCTTACAGCCACCGGGGCATTGAACAATGAAGTCTACAAGAAACCGTGCCTTGTGTGCTTAGCCGGAGCAGGTGCCAGCCTTGGAGGGTTCGCATCCACCAGCGCAGCCGTTGTACATCTGGCACTTAGTCTTGGTGTCGGCGCAGACATTCTTGAGGGTGGCGGTGTCCTTGTAGGTCAGGTTGATTCCGGCCAGCTCTCCGCCGTTCTTGGCGGTGACGCCCTCCATGTAGACGTTGCGCTTGCACTGAGTCTTGCACTATGAAGGTTGAAAGAAAGGTTAGCTGGTTTTGTTGCCAGACAAGAGGTATATATTCCAGGAATTATCAACGTACGTTTCCGCAAGAGCGGTAGAGCTTGCCGTAGTCCTCGACGTAGTAGTTGATCTTTGGTCACCGTTAGCATTGCTTATTTGAGAGCGAAGAGCAGTCGATCGACACTCACCACGTTGACGGTACCGCAGCCGTTGTGCTGAATGACCTTGTCAGAGGCGTGGTACGCACCACCACCGACAATCCAAGTCTGGGTTCCGGCCTTGTCGTTCTTGATGGATATGGCGTCCTCGCAGACGTCCTCGAACCAGACGAACTCAAGAGTGCAGTGTCCATTGCAGTGGACACCCTCAGCCTGGTTTTTACCAATGATGGCATTCTTTAGGGTTCCGCCAGCCTGAATGTAGAAGACGGAGTCCTTGTAGTCTTGGAAAAGGGAACTATGTTAGGTACCTGCCCTCGGGCACATGTAATATGTGTATGATGGGGCGCGTTGACCACTCACCGCCCTCGGACTGGCCACCGCAGGCACCGGACCCGCGGTCGAAGCGCTGCCACTTTCCGTCGTAGACCTGTCCGGCCTTGATCTCGATGTAAGATTTGGAGGTTACGGTACCGGTAGCCTTGGGAACACCACCAGTGTAGCCGTTGCAGGCGAAAGCGCCGGGAAGGGCAGCCAACAAAGGCACCAGGCCAAACTTGAGGAACTGCATGATAAACAAGAGTATATACACTAGCAGAAATACAGAATGAATGAAATAGTTTGTTAAAGCTGAAAGAAGGTGAGAGGAATAGACAGACAGAACTGAATGGGAATAGGTCGGACAACCCGAGGACTTATATGCAAACCTTCTCAAGGCAAAGGTTCCTGGTTCACACAAAGTCTGCCAAGGCTGAGAATCTCACACTATCCCTATCGCAACTTGGCCACTCATCAGGAAAGCCTAGGCAAACTAACCAAGTATCGCCTGGGTCAGGAGCAGGGGGGGGGGGGGGTTCCTCAAGCCCGCGGGTGAAGACACGACGGATCGCAGAGGGATTCAGATCATTGGCGTACATATAAACAGGCGGGCCCGGGAGATGTCTGCATGGTTGCTTCTGCGCGATGCTTACACGTAGTTGCTGATGGAGTCGCTTTGGAGATTTGCTCCGCGTACCGGCGTCTGCGTTGGAAACTTGGTCGTGTTCTGGTCCCGCTGAGTGCTATACCTGGCAGTCACTTGTTGTCAATACTGCATGTAAGGGGAGGCACAGTGCATGTGATGAAACTCCTGGGCTCAGTTGACCCAGAAGGAGCCTGACTCAAAGGGAGAGGAAGCGCCCTTCACTGTCCAATTACTGGGTTCTGCCATATTACAGATTGCCACCAAGACCTGAGTCTGTGGTGTACCTGCAGATGTGTGAAATACTTCATCGGATCACGGATGACGGTGTGACGGTAAGTTGTCAACCCCTTCGGCGTCCGGCCAGACGCGACCCAATCGGACGGTAGGCCCGACCTCAAAAGGAGATTAAGCTATGTGGTAACGAATCTGGGAGCCCAACGACCAGGTTCTTTGCGCAAGGGGCTTCTCTGAGTTGGCCTCTTTCCAAGCAGCAGACGAATCAAGCGTGTCCAACGAAAGTGATACCGTGATCCTACTAACATCCTATCCCGGAGGTCACAACAAAATTAGTCTATCGGCGGGCGTGGGACCAACGCGAAAAAGAGTCCATTCTATTAAATCGGTTGTTGTTGGTGGTGGTCTGTAAGGCGGAGTTGCCAAGACTCTTGTGTGCACGATGGGATGGATTGCCGCAGCTAACAACCTGGTCCGGTGCTGGATGTTGATTAATGCCAAGAGTCAAACTCGCCCCAAAGGCTCTTGTTCGAAAATTGCCAGGGGAACTTTGCCCCGCACACCGTTCTTTTGGACGATGTTTTCCCATCATTCCTATGGCAGTCTGGCGAGGAAAAAGAACTCACCGATCCAGTTGTTGTTCAGGCTGGACTCTCCTCAAGAGTAGGTATCATCGGAAGCGGACGCCCATCCATCGGCCCCACCGCGATCGAGACCGAGGACCCATGTCCTGTTCTCCGGGAGTCTGTCTGACCATACCTAACCTTATGTAGCACCCATGTTGTCGTCGGTGTTCTACCAGCACGTTTGATGGCTGTCATCTGAAGTTCTGAGGCAGCCCTCGCCTACCCTTGCTGCACTTCTTTATTCCTTAGAATCCTGACCACCTCTTATCGAGCTCATTGGACCAACATTTACGCTTCCCAGGTGCCCAGCCTTTGGGACCTGCCTGTTGCCTTTCCACATTTCAGGGGCATTTGGGACTATCTCCCGCTTTTCCTCCATCCGAGGGTCCGGTTATGTGGCTATGCTGGATGTCAATCAGGCTTCTCTCGGCAACGTACAGGCAACCGGGCGAATTATTCTCTTCCCGTCGTCTTGCGGGCGTTGAAAATGGACACATTTGCCCACCTTACCGTATTATGGTATCCATTTCACCTGAAATTCTTAGACTGTCAACGGACGCTCCGTCAGTATTAATATTCTTGAGCATGAGGAACATGGTAATCACACGGTTCTTGGTATTTTCATTAAATACTTACTTGGCGCTTCCAATTGAGGTCGTTCCCGATGGTTCTCCCAGGGTCGTCTTCCTTAACATGGCCCGACATTCCATATGAGGGAGAGGGGTGACTTCCTTCTTTCCAGGCGGGGCTCCCTCCTTTCCAAATACCCCATAGTCTCTGTGCAGACACAAGGATATTTGAGACTGTCACCCGCATAGGTCTTATTAGGCTTAAGACTTCGGCCGACTTTGTTGACAACGGACCCAAACCGGGAATGATCGGAAACAACCTCCCCATGAGCTTCGTCTACCCGATATCACTTACAAAATGGGGTCATCCATCCATTTAAGCTCACGGGCTGTCTTTGTTGAATGTGCGGACCAGCGGCATCCATGCTTTGGTCACATAAGTAGCCGTGCTTGGAAGACCACGTGAGAGGTTTTTCATTCTGGCTCTCGGGGGCTCCCCACGTTTGTTTGCCGCTAGAGAGCAAAACCTCCCAGCTTGACGCGAGCGAAACCTAATACCCCGGAGTTTGGCAGAAAAAGTCGGATGTTGTCAGTCTTCCTTATCTTTCAACACCCAGCGCCCGTTCTATGACGACCTTCCACACTGGGCCTGTAATTGTCTGGCCAAAGATTCTAGGTGAACTTCTCAAGCAAGTACACTACCTCCCCATGGGATACATCTTCGAACACATATGCCCATCCTGACGTACCTGGTGTTCTATTCCCTATGAAGACCGCTTTGTGTGATGCGATCCTGAAAAAAAAGTCGAGGGCCGAAATTCACTCATCCCTTCTTGAGCCCTGCCGCCAAGCTTCCCGCGACTTCGCCGCCATGCATACCAGAGTCTTGGCAAATCTCAATTTTCTGCGTTCACCTGGTTGCGAGCGCTCACTGCAGCAGCATTGCCGCGCCTTTTTCTCAATGCTCTCGCTGTCGGTAATCTTTCTATTCTTTCCTAGGTCTACTAATCTCCGTGGGCAACATGAATTGGCGGAAACAGGACCAAAACTTCCTCCTAAGCCGTTTCTTTTACGTGTCATTCCCCATAGAGTTCTGTGATCATAATCTGCAACTCACTCATTCGGTTTCGACCTTCAACAACTGGGCCAAATGCCCCGACTTCAGCATGACGGGCAATGATAGATCTGAAAGCCGAAGTACTCGCCGACCAGAGAACGGAAATACTGGCCGCGATACGAACAGTACCGTTGCATCGTGATCGAGTTCACATGACAAACATGTTTCATTTATTCTAAGGAGTTCTCGGTTGAGGTGTCCTCAGGATGCCCGTGATCCACTGCCTGGAATTCTCCTTCCAATTGGATCTTCATCCGATCTAAACTCTATAGCTCTCGACTCTGGCGTTGACGTGTGACCGGATCATCCAATTCCCTGACGCTAAGTCTCAAAATATAATTGTGGCTGCTTTGAGATGTTGTGTTATGTCCGGAGGCGTTTTCATGTTGAACGATCGGAATATACACATCATCGGGCTTTTTTTTGAATTTAAGTAACTTCCCGATGTTTCGTCACGGACCTTGACAGATGAACCGAAATAATAATCAAAAGTACTTCTCTTCATGCACGGCAAACCCATCACTCCATGATATCTATGATCCGTCTCATCCGTTCCTTGATCGTAACGACTTCCTGTTCCAGGCGGCGTCTCAACTCGGGGTTCTCCTCGCTTTCTGTCGCAACATTGTCATTCCTGATCAGATCAAGAACCGATGTAATCGCGGCCAACCCAGTACGGACGATGGCTTGTTGCTCGGTCTGGACATTATCTGCTAACAGCCTCACTCTGCTCTTGAACTCCGTCATGTGGTTCTCAAACAGATCCACGCGACCAACAGCACTGCGGATAATGTTTTTACGTCTCCTATCGCTCCCTCCTCCTACACTCAGTGCGATTAACAACGTACTCTAAGATCTGGGCTTTATGATAACAACTCACCATATTCCGCGTTACACCTCCTATAAGGCGCCTCCATCGCTTTGCCAAGTATGGATGTTCGAATGCCGGTAAGTGCGTCTATACGTAGCGAGCTATCTCGAGGGTGAGTTTGAGGCCTTTCTCGGAAGATTGAGCTGCTTACTTCAAGTCAGCGCCGGTTTTATCCGTGAGATCCTCTACTTGGGACTCCATGATATTCTTGTGGCATATCAGAGTTTCCTGGAGGAGATCGGTGACTCCAGGAAAAAGCTCAAGCTCATTTTCTACCATTTGACCATCATTAGCGGAGTGATCCCAGTATGTGATTGACGGCTCCTCACCAAGAAATTCCAGTGCCCAGTCTATCTGACTTTGGATTAGACGACCGCTCTGCTCTAGTCTGGCCCTGCAAAATGCGCACACCGAGTCCCATTGAGGTGTCACATCCCCAGCCATGATGCATATCATCTCCTGATTCCAATCATGCCACCCGGCTTTGTCGGTACGATGGTTCCCGAAATTGCGACAGAACGCTGAATAGGTCCCTTCACAGACTTTTAAGTAAAAAGTAACTATGCATCACTTACGAAATTTCGACTTACCATGCGCCCACTGAAATCTCGTTAGCTAGGCACATGCGGAAAGAACTCGAGCGACGTACTGGATCCCATTCCAAGGCGGCATTCGCCGCTGCAGTCCTCCAAGTATTGTTGCGTCGATCTTGCACGTTCAGAGTCAGGCAGATTGATCGTCTGAGGAGCTGGTAGACCACATACTGTCATAGACTTGCATTCTGAACTCATCTTTGATCGACGTCCCAACGAGGCTGATATCTGAATTCCTTCTTGTCAACTCCTGATTACCGACTATCAGTCAAAACTTCCAAAGGCAAAGAGGAGTTGTCTTGCGGATTCTCTGACCCTCTTCAACCGAGACTCGATCACATTCAGCGTGTCGCGAATATGGAGCTTTTGTTCAGCACCGGCGCTTCCTGCACCAGACTCAACCCACAATGCAGCTTCTCCAAGTATAGCGGGAATATCGTTATCGATGTATCTCTTGGCAATACTCAATTGACTGTCCGCAATAATGCCGAGGCAGTGCTTTCATAGAGCAAGGATACCGCTGAGCTGCAGTGATGGGAGGGCCACGTCTCTCGGCTTGTGACGTTCATCCCAGTATAGGATGTTGCTAACGCAAAACACCTCCAGATTTCCGCCTGAAATCTTGTCTTCGTAAGCCGTTCGAAGTTGCCTGGTGATAATGGTGTTGCGGGTCTTTATCAGATACTCTTTTAGTCTATTGCGAAGGTCGGCATGTCAGCTTGCATTGAGGCTAGGTTTCTGTCCTCATTTGACAAGGTTGAAGGTCACGTAACTTACTCGAATAAATTCTCCTTCAAGACTGCACTGTTAAGGCAATGCGAGTTAATCATAGATGCAAAAGCCTCTGTACAGATGGGTCTTACTTAGTTCGCCTATGTTTGTTGTGGAGTCGAATCGATTCTCTTTGTTCCTCGTCTGTCAGTTCCGTCATCTCCAACTCGTCAATTTCCGCTAGGCTAAGATTGATATTCTCAATATCTGCCTGAGTGGTTGAAACTGCATTGCTCAGTTGCTGGATACGATCTGCGTGTCGGCCTCGCCAATCTTTCATGGCTTCTTCAACTCGAATGTCCTGTGGCTCAGTGGTCAGCAAACCGCAGAAACATTATAAAAAGGTGGGAAACTGGAGATTCTAAAACGTGCTCACATCAGACTTTGTGCAGACGATCCCAACTTTGGTCAACCCTGCCTGTTGCGCAAGTTCAAAGACACTTTCCACACCGACATCTGTAGTCGCCCGCCCAATGTTGCATATGGCAAAAATCTCATCACATTCGACCAGATATCTTTCGGTGATAAGTCTCCGTGCCGAGTTGGAGTCACGCAGTCCTGAGAGTCATATATTAGGAATATTTGGGCCGTAACAAAGAATGCTGCACCTTACCAGGAAGGTCGACGAGGATTAGACCCTTACTCAGAATATGTGAGGGCAAAAATACCCTGGTTCTTTCTGTTAAAAGACTTCACTATACGACCTCTGAAGTGAGGCAAGACTTACTTGATCTTACGGACGAAAGGCCAAACAGCTGGCGTTCGTGTATCTACCGATTCGGATGTCAGATACATCAGGAAAGCAGCGCAACTATCCCGCGAAGGCTTCTCATGTCTTCCTTCAAGCGGTAGGTCCACTCTCCGCAGCCAGGAACGAAAGGTTCTTAGGACAGTGGCTTCCTCCTCATTGATAAGGAAGTCTTCGCTCGCCAGCTGACCGCGGAACATGGACCGGAAAGTGTCCCGAGCGACGTTTGCTTGCTCTTCAATATCGACAACTGTTGCCGCCTCATCATTTCTCCTCAATTCTCCCGCGTTCAGGTGAAACATTCGATACGATTGAAGTAATTCCTTTATCTGATCCATGAGATCATCCTGACTGAATAATTCCACGTCAATAGTGAAAGCATCCCCGTCCTTATGGTGATACTCGGTAACAACGCAGGTGCATGCGGCCCCGCTATTGCTCTAGCAAACGTTAACCGACGGCTGCGATGCTACGCAAGGTCTTCCATAACCTACTGTTCTAGCGAGGTTCTTTTGATCCAGAAGGGAGTTCAAGACGCTACTTTTACCTGTGCTCGTAAGATAAGGTCCCTTCGATCATAGTACTAGACGCTCACCAACGCCGGAATCTCCAACAAACCCAACAGTCCGCGTCGAAGGTCCTTCAAATTGGGACAGATCCAGCGCTTGGCCATAAAGTCGTCTGATTGTTGAATCGGGGTTGATGTGAAGAGGGCTGTCTTCGAGAACACCTGCCAATTGAGTTATCAATGCCTTGGCGTCCTTGATGGCATTTTGGACAGCTGGGTCGTAGAAACGACTCTCGGGCAGCTCCTCGTCCTTGACATCATGATACACCAGGGCTGCTTCAGAACGTCCCCGCGATCGACGAGGAGGGCGCGGGCTCAAGGAGTTTTGCCTAAAGGCAGGCGTAGGATTGCTTGGTTGAGGAGTCCGTCGCCTAGCATCGTCGAACAGATTTGACAGTGCGGCTCTTATATCAGACAACCCCATATCTACTGGTGTGCGATCAAGGCGTTCGATAATCAGCCGATCCAGACGATCAGTGATGCTTCCAATTTCTGGGGAGTCCCGAGCTGGATATCGTTCCCCAGGAAGACTATCAGCAGCCCTATAGGAGAGTGGAGAGTGCGGAGCTGATGTCAGCGGGGAGGTTGATGCTCGAGCAGCCCCTGGGCGAGTAGTCGGTGTACGAGGGATCGACGCTCCAGATATTGGAGACTCTGTCCATGCCTCAGTCTCAACTGATGGAATAGGCTCATCTGGAGACACTCGTCTCGGCAATATTGGTTCCGGAAACAAGGTGTCACTTCTGACGATAGATGGTGAGCGACTCGACTCAGGAGTGAAAATTGGTGCAGACGATCCTCGAGACGTCGTCGATGCTGCTGCTGACTGGTGCCTGTTTGGAAATGAAACTGGCGGAGAACCTGAGAGTACTTGTTCCTGGGGAAACAATGCGGCCCAAGGCGGGGGTTCAGAAGCCGTGGTCCTTGGGGGACCGGCCGTGGCCGAGGATCGCTGATGGTAGTATTCCAACGTTAACTGAGTGGGCTTCTTGACGGAAAGGATTGATATTGGGGTTTCGAGGAGAAGAACTCACAACTCTTGACATCCTTTAGAACTCGGCGGTGAAAGGAAAGAACCACGAAAAGCTGCGAAGTCGGGCGCTTTAGCCAGGTGAGCGTGCTGCCCGCCTCTTCAAATAAGTTGGTGCTCCATTCCTCCCAAGCCGTCCCATTCACGCTAGCCCGAAAGACATAGCCTCATTGCGGTTTTGTATCCTATTACAGAGACTGTTTCCGTTGGAGATATCTATTCTGGTAAAGCAAAAGCGCCCTCGCGGTGGGGGGATCATGCGGGCGAGGGCGGCGCAGACCTGTCCTGTTGGTTTCAGCTGCACACCCTGGGTCGTCGACCCAACCAACACAGATGGGTTAAGCGGGCGAAATAAGCGCCAACAGATTCTTTGGACCATGGTATGTATGCCACTGAGTCAGTCACTTGCAGAATTCTGATTCTTGGGTTGGATTCGGGCTCATTGTCACATGAACGAGTCGAGAAAGCCGAATTAGACTTGCAATCGTCAGGGCTGTCAGCTTTTGTTCTGATACGCGGCCAGAGGGTCATCAGTGCTTAACAACATTAAAGTTTCTGAAACTTGCCCGTGTACACAAGGCCATCAGGTTGCAAGTACAACCTTGTAAGTCCATGAACGAAAAAGTCTTAGGTTCGTTGTTTGGCTTATATTTTTATGATGAAGAAACCCCAGCTCGGCATTATGGAAGGAGAAATAGCCATAACTAAGGCCAGTGCCATTGTGTATATGTTCTCTTTCGAACTCATCAGCTCCCCGTCTCCAAGATTTGAAATAAAAAATGTCTCAGTGATTGATAATGTCTCTAGGACGCGTGACTTTCCCATGTTCCCTGCTCACTGTGTCGAATCCATGGTTTATAACTGCTAGTGAAAATCGACCCGTAAAAGTAAACGTTGAAAAAAAACATATGGAAAAGTAGAATCATGTAGGAATACCTTTTCTGAGAAAATCCTTTCAACTTTTGAGAACAGGCGGTCGCCTGGCTTTGAAGCCTCATCTCCGGCTCCGCTAATGACCTATGTCAAAGATTCATCAGCAGTCGGTGTCCATAAACTCAACATATGGCGTCTATCTTCCAAATTCAACAAGTACAATATATTTGCCTTCCGATTTGGCGTAGCATTGTGACTCTGAGGGTTTTTAAACGACCCAACTTGTTTTGCCTTTCGAAAGTTAGTGAACATCAAGCTGTCAACCAGCGAAACCTGAAACGCCTGGATTTTGTGTCAAGGAGTTCGAATCACTGTTCAGAGGATGTGCTGTGCCTTTTAATTGAGCTTCAACCTCTTTGATCTTTTGAAGGCGCCCTCAATAGCTAGCTGGTTTCATGAAATGCAAGTGCTCAGTGACACGAAAGTAAGCGTTGGCAACATGGTTTTCTTTCTTCCGAGTTCATGGCCTCCAAAAACGTGTATAATTTTCTTTCGTAGCTCTGGGATTTTCTTTAAGGAAGACCAGATGCCGCCAGAACCGGTTACTCTAGTCTCAACACCCGAGACTCTAAACTTGCTCATTGGACTCTCATCAAGTTTCGCAGTGAGCAGATCCATCCTGAATTACGGGTATGGTTAGCAGGTAATGTTAGAAGTACTTGACGCAGAGACGCTCTCCTATATCACACTTGCCAACGAACTCATTCAATTCCTTAAAAATATTCATGCAAATCGTGGTCTGTTGGCTACAGACACTTTGCAGCCGAATGTCTTGATGATTGACTCACTACTCCATAGTCCTTAGCAAGGAAGTCGGCGCTTCGGGAGTTGAGAACATTGAACACCACATGATTCAAGTATTATGTCTGACTGCTGATGTGAACGTTTCACTGCATTTTTGTCTATCGATCTGGATGATCTCAACCTAGTGTAAACATATAAATGGACCAGCAAACTTGGTGCTGTCAGCCATGAGCTCTTTGGCAGAACTCCAACTCTGACGACTGTCTCGGCATGACTATGTGCTTGGCAAATCTAGCCTACTATCAACTTGTTAAGTCTACTTATGTTTCCCTGGAGAAAGTGTGATCACTGACAGGTTCTACGCAATTCAGATGGAGATACCGCTTTGACTAAGAGAACATATGCTCCAACGTTCCTGCATCATTCCTCACAATCAGTAAATCTAGGTTGAGTCCACCTACAAGACTAAACATCACTTATAAAGCTTGAATTGCATCGTCTCGGAGTCAGAAAGAGATTATCAAACCGTCGCTTCCATTAGATATACCAAAAAGTGGTCCAAATGCTTACACCAGACATGATTGTATCGTTAGCAATTCCTTTTGGGGAGACTATCACTTCAAGTAAGGTGACTAACTACACCTATCTCGTTGGATAGTGGATCAACTCACATTTTTACGTAGAGGCATGAGGATCTCATTAGTCAAGGCTGCCTTACAAGTAGAGACTCGAAATAGTACATTCTGGGACACCTGAGTTTTGTTTGAATCGCATACTTCACTTCGGCAACAAGACGCATCAACCCACGGTCCTGCTATGAGCAACAGACACTCGGTCGTCTTCAAGTTTTCTACTCACATTTCAAAAACCAGATCGATCGGCCAGACAGCGCCGTCCGTACATATCCTATCAATTGATTAAGAACAAAAGATCACCAAAACACAAAGCCCCCAGTAGGTTTATCTCTCAACATAGACACCATCCTCTATCCAGCATACAACCTACGTAGTATCACCTCTATGACTGAGCTTTCAGGTACAGAGCAACAGATCCAACCCGCTACTACGCAACCGACCCGATGTCGACTCTAGATGTGCATTCTCACCCCCAAGCCCATGTGATCGCAAGCGCCCTCATACCCCGTCCGTGGTGCCATCCGGAGATTCGCTCCTCTCCAGTGATCTTCTGAAAGTACTCTGCCTAACAAACTAGGCAAGAACAAAGCTCCCTTCTCGGGCCTGACGCTAAGAGAAGGGGAAGAGGCGGGGAGTGTCCTGCGTCAACAGCTTTGCTCGCGCCAAAAACTCGGCAATCGGACTCGGTTCTCCCAAGCTTCGATCTTGGCCGACGGAGAGCGATGTAGCTGAGCATGATGGGGTTGAGCTTAGAGCCGAAGAATAGGTTCCATCAACGACAAACGACATCAATCAAAACTCCGCTCTAAAGCCACAAGTTCCTCGATCGATCCGGTTTTCATATTGGGTTCCAGGCCATTCAAAGTTTTCCATCCCCGGGGCTAAGAAAAACGGTGTACGGAGCTGTCCATGAAGATCGTCCCTCAGCTCCGTGTGCGTGGCTACCGTAGGGGTTCTTTAAGCACTGAGGATGGTGCGGCGATATCCACGTTCCTGACGATCTCTAGTCCCACGAAGTAGAGCCACAGAGGGCTTGGTGAAAAATCACGACCAAGAAATGAATGAAACCAATCACCATCGAACAACACAACCTCGACCACAAATTACCATGTTCCGTTTCTCTGAGCCCCAGCAACGCCAACAAATGGGAGATCCCAAAAGGCCCTCAAGCTGGTTTGGCAGCTCGGGAACGCACACAAGCTGAAACCGCCACTTGCGTAGTTGGCGTCGAAAAAACGGCTACCAATTGTGGGGGTTTAGGGAAACACCTGATGAGAAATGGATTAGCCGAGGTGGGACGGCGTCAAGGAAACATCACGTAGTAGTCGCTTGCGTTTAACAGATCGAGATCGAGATGGCGGGAGAAATTGACGCATATCCGACTGGAGGGTTCTCCGCAGACGCGTCGGCCATGTCGTTGATGATGATGAGCAGTCGACACAGCCGGCGTCGACAACGAACAAAGAAGAGAGTGTAACCGCTCTCTGTAGCTTGGCCCGAATAAAGAACATTCTCAACCGAGAGGATCTCTAAACGCGCGTGTGTCCTGTTTGCCTTCCAAAAGGCCCGAATCATACAGATAGATGGCAAATAGGTCTAAGGGGTCATTAGTACCCTCACGAACCCCCTATGGTCCCTATCCGATCCTTGATTCGCGATGAGATATTATCCACTCAATCAGCCAAACTGATTAACCCAAAGGGTAAAGACACCGAAAGGAACAGATGGATCTTGCGTTGCCGGCCGGCCGGGCAGAAAAAAAAATACACCACCGAAAAAGTAGAATGCGTAATAGGTCTTCGTCAAACAACTCCACATCAAGGCCGGCGCCGTTTCGGGCTGCGCGGATCACCCGGATTCCGACGCTAGTCGTTTTCCCCGGCGAAGATCCTCATCTCGGGCGGGTCGGCGAGCGAGAAGGAAAAGGAGCAAGGGGAAAAGTGGAGCGAGGCCCGTCAAGCAAGTTATCGTTTGGTTCAACCGTTGCCGTGGCTCATCGTCTAGACAAGTATGAACCGACCGCTGAACCAACCCCTTACCAGCATCCATAGTGTTCTTTTGAGGATTCGAGCCTCTGACGTCCAAATCCCGCTGTTTCCACTCCGCTTCGCTGTTACCAACGTCTCGAAAAGCTGGCGGTCTGGTAGCTTGCCCTGGGAGGCGAGAACGAAAACGAGGCAGTCTTTTATGAAGCTTTCGGTTCGGGCATTGTGATTCTGTCTTGCCTACGTGGGAACATGGTCTACCTTAGTTTTCGCAACGTGGAAGGGGCGTGTATGCTGGAAACGCATGAATCGTGTAGAGCAGATGGATGTAACGTTCGAAGACCGCGCTAATCATGAAGAGGGTAAGAGACAAGCAACGGTGAAGTATCAAAGAACAATGGTATTACGCTTGATATACGACAAACTTCCGCCCCGGGGGTGAGGTCACACTTCTAGCTCTACGTTCGGACCTCTCACAACTCGGCACTCCGGTCCGTCAGCGGTCTATTCCGCGCCAGTA